CTGCGACAGACAGGCGACCTGTCCAGGGTGCAGTATGGTAGCTGGAATAGCAACATACCCAAGGATGAGCAGAATGACTGATATGATGAAACTGGGATTTTGTTACACTTAATTATTGCAAACACGACTAAAACTATAACTGAAACTAATCAAAACTAAACTAGCAAACAATTGGTAAAAACTAATTAAAACTGATATAAAATTGAAAATCTGAAGTCAAAACTAAATAAAAATAAAAACTAATGAAAATTGCAAAACTATTAAAACCCTGGTAATCGGATTACATTTCAGTCCCTGAAAGTCATCTAACCACATTTTAAAGGTTCCGAGTCTGAGCCTCGACATGTTTGGATCTGCTTCAAGGAATCGCAGGCTCCGGAACAGATCCAAAATGGATTCGGATCACAGATTCAGACCGAATCCGGTTCCAGCTCATCCCGTGTGGCTCTATTTGGATCATTTACAGCTTCTGCATCTCTGACTTCAACCGTCTCTGCTCAGCGTGTGGGCAGCTGAGTGAAAGCTGAGCCACATTTGTCTTTTATCGTTGGAAACTTTGGTGTTTTACTCAAACAATGACTGTCAGGCAGCCATCGTTGATCGTGAAGTTGATATGAGATCAGATTATAATTGTTGAAACAATTTAAGCATTTTTATCCTATAATGGCCGAATTAATGGAATTTGTTAGTGTTACTGATGGAACAGGTAGAAACCGCAGCAGAAACAATTGAATAAAATCTGAGTAGAGGGCGGATCTGCCTGGAGGCTGTTGCTATGGGCAACTAATCTCACAGCTCCATCAGTAAACTGTGGCTGAATCATCGTGAGACGTAAAATTAAGATTAAGCTTCATCTGACCAGAGTCCAAGCTGCTACACGGTTTCCATCAGCCACGCTGCTCACCAAACTCGCTGGTGCTCCAGCTGTGAAACAGAGGAGTTTTTCTTCCTTCGGCTCCAAACTGAAACGCCTCCAGATCCTCTACTCCACGCTGTGATGTCATCAGACGAGCCATCTTCGTCACCACAGCAGCCTGACAGGAAACAAGAAATGAGGTCACACAGTGTTAGAGGGCTTGACGCATGCTCGATGAGCCAGGTAAGCGAATCCCAAAAAGCTGATTCTGTCACTTGGAAGAGTGACGAAATGTTTCTCCCACTGAAAACGCCACGTCCTCATGAACAGAATCAAACCTGATCAACCTATCAGAGCAGAGCTCCTTCATCGGTCACATGATACGTGTAAAATGCTTGTCATATGAGCATGCTCAGAGGCTCCAGCAAAACATTGATAACCTTCCTGATTCCTGTTATTGATTATTATCTTGATTAGCTCTATCTGGGAGTTCAGGTTTCAGGCTCTATCTGGGAGTTCAGGTTTAACTGATCCAGCTCACTCAGAGAAAGATGGGAAAAGGTGAACCTGATGATGGCATCACTTTAAATCAACAAACTGAGATTCAGTTTAACTTCATAAAGCAGTGGTGCGCATCAGCCCAAGGAGGAGGAGCCTTCATCTGTGTCACATGCTCAGTCAAGATCAATACTGATCAGCTTTTGTTTAGTGGTCAATAAAAGCTGTTTCTCACTTTCTTTTGAAAGGTCTGTGTGAGCTTTTACTCTCTGCACTCAGATTATTGATCACTGATGGCGCTGCTGTGTGTGTGTTTATTGATTATTGATTGGATTCTGAACCAGTGTTTTCTGTCTCTGAACCTAAGTGTAAATAAAGTTTTTTGAAGCTTCACCATTTTGTCAACGACTTCCTGCAGTTTGAGACATTTGTCCTGCAGCTCGGAGGCTCCGCCCACGTGCTGTGGTGAGGAAGAGGGTGGAGGCGATGAAGAGTTGTTGAGCAGCAGCTGATCGCTCTGAGCACTGAAAACACATTTTAGATCGATCAATCACATGATCGATCAACACCTGGCATTCCTGAAATCATCAGTAAACTGACCGCCTCATGTTGATGATGCTCGCCACCGCCATGAAGCCATCCTCATTCAACCTGTCCCACCGCAGCATCATGTTGTGCCAGTCGGCAGCGTTGTCTTTGATCTTTCTCGCACTTCCTGTGATTGCAGCAGACTTCCTGTTTGCTGACGTCACTGAGATGTCACCTGAGAACAGAGTCACGTGATTTTGTTGTTGATAGTTTTAGTGACAGAGCGTGCAGGCGACACGACAAGACAATCCATAAAACCTGCGTAAGCCTCGGTTCTCAACGTGCAGCTCGCCGCCTCACAGCGGCCTCTGTCACTTCCTGTGATCTCACAGCTCAGAACGTGACAACATTTCTAAACTTTTTGTCAAAAAAGTCATTTAAAAAAAACATACAAATGTCAAAAATTTTAATAAAATGAAGTAAAGCAAATTAAAAATTGCTCGTCACTGACCAATCACAGACATGATGCTACTTTAACCTGTGCAGCCTTCAGGAGGTCACCTCATTACATCACCATTCAGCTGTCAAAGGTCAACCGTTACTAACCCTAACATATCCAGGATTTCTTGCCTTGTCTGGCTTCACTGACCTCATCCACTCCAGCTCTGCAGCAGCGGTCACCTCATCCAGGTAACTCAGGGTTTACCTGGCTTTAGCCGGGTCAGGGGGTATTTCACCATGGTAACGCTGCCGGTCTGAAGCGATAATAATTCCTGCTGGTCAATAATCGATATCAAGCTGCCCACCTTTATGGTCCACGTGACTCCAGGCAAAGGTGAAATCCTACAGGGACCTCAGGTGTATACATATGACGTCACTCTTTGTTGTCGTTTTGGTCTCTAACCTCTGACCCTGAGCGCGTGATCGCTGATTAATAACGGAAAGGCTTCCGCCAGTCAGCTGAAACCTTTTGCTGCGCGTGCCATTGATCAGCTGGTTAGTCACGTGTGGATCGATTATCAATCACCCACCTTCCATCTGATCGATCAGCTCCGACCAGCTCCACCCGCTCAGCTTATTCTTCGGCGGTTTTTCTTCCAGTCGTCTTCTTTGACCGCGGGTGTCTGGTTTCCGGTCTCGGCACTCCTCAGGTAAACTCACCTGTGCGCGAGAAGCAATGTTCTGACTTTAAACTGATTTTCTGCTCTTACACGTGACTGACGATGCAGCCTTTTCAATTCTCTGACATGCGCAATAACGTCTGAAACTTACTGGCCGTGACGTCAGCACTGGGACCGGATGTTGTAAGTAAGTGTCAGTGCGCCTGCGCTAACACTGGGACTGCCGTACTTTTACTGACTCTCTTTTTCTGTGGAGATCTTTTAAAATCTGGCGATAATCAATAATATCACGCAGGCGCAGGCAGAGTGAGAAGAGCTGTCGGAGCTGACCATAGACACGATCAAGGATCGATATCAGCTAATCAAAAAGGCGGTGTTGCGGCTTTGATGACGTCAGGGCCGCTGCTCAGGTAGCTCCGTGATCGATTATCGGAGGTGAGAGATGGCGCTGCAGCTTCCGGCCGAATTGTGGCTGAAAGTGTTCAGCTTTCTCTCCTGGAGGGACAAACTGAGCATGCGCTGCACCTGCTCATACTTCAGACACCTGCTGGATAAGTCCCGCCCCCTGTGGAGGGGCTTCAGCGTGGTGCTGCAGAACCTCTCGCGCTACAATCGCTCGTTCTGGCGCAGCCTGGCTCAGAGGCACGTGGGCAAAGTGCTGCTGCGCTCAGGTAAGAGGAAGCACCTGAAGCAGCTGCACGCCTGGCTACCGGTGCTCTGCGGCCTGCGACTGGACGACTGGAGAGAGGGGGGCGTGGATGATCTCAGACTGTTCCGCCAGCTTCAGCGACTGTCCGTCACTTCCTGTTCCATACCTCTGAGGAACCTGGACTTCCTGTTTCCTCTGAGTCAGCAGCTGACGCAGCTCAGCCTCTGTAACGTGCAGCTCACCTGTTCTGCCTCTCACCTGTTGGCCACCGTTGGTCAGTTGACGTGTCTGACCTCGCTACTGCTGCACCACGACGGCAGCCTAAGGGTCCCGTCCCTCAGCGGTGTCCTCGCTCACCTGAGCGAGCTCACACACCTGTCCTGGACCATGATCACCTACAGGACGCTTCCACACGACTTCTTCAGCCCCGCCCACCACACAGGTAGGCACACCTGGATCAGTCGCTCACTGAGATATTTAATAGTTAGATTATTGATCTTGATGGTTAGGCACTGGTGTGTTCTGCCTTCCTGCTGAACCTGCCTCACCTCTGACATGGAACAGAGACAGGTGAGATCAGACGTCACATGGCTCAGGTGTGTTTTATCGTCCTGCAGGTGACGCCGCATTGCAGCTGCTGGACTTGCAGCTGCTGAATTATGACGCCGTGGTGACACAGGAAACGCTGCAGCCTTTGTCCCGCCTCCGTAGCCTGTCAGTGTTCCACCTGTACTCCGTACCTGGACCCACCTGTCACCTGCAGACGTGGCTGACGTCACTGCCACACCTAACCAACCTCAGCATCCACGGTGAGTGTCTGTTTCCCCCCTTCGTATTTGTCTATCTGAGCATCTCTCTTATGTCTGCATGTTCAATAGGAGGCCACCCCCTGGCATCGTACGCTGACTTCCTGCCCACCTCGCTGCTCAGCCTGACGCTGTGTGTGGACCTGCAGCCCAACGACCTGCGGGTGGTCTCCGCCCGGGCACCGCAGCTTGAGCATCTTCACCTGGAGCCCTGGAGCTCGTCGTCCGACCTCATCAGACTCCTCCCACAGCTGTTCCCTCATCTGAAAACGCTGCGGATAAGGTGAGCCCGACACGTCACACGCAGTGTCTCTGTTGTAAGTGTCATGATGATATCCATGGTAACCTGCCATCGCTGTTTCAGGCACCAGCACGTGTCCGATGATGACTTCCTGCAGCTGCAGCGACTGCGGCGCCTCGACACTCTGGAGGTTCTGGACTCGTACTACAGACCTGACCCGAGCGACCCAAGCCGGGTCATCTTTGAGCCGAGTCCTCGTTTGCTGCGGCTGACCTCTGACCTGCAGAGACTGACCAATCACAGAGTCAGAGTCATCACCAGCTCACATGGAGACCTGCTCAGCTGCCACTGTGTCTGACCAGTCAGTGAGAGTCTGCCCACCGCGATCAAGATGTAAAACAAAACGTGGGCCATCGCATCACCTTCAGCTTACTATCCAATTGGCTTTCAGGATCAGCCACCTGGGCCCAACAGAACCATTCATTTATTCTTCCACCTGCGGCTTCCTCACAGATACGATACGAAAGAAAGGACGAGATCATCGACATCATCATCACAGGGGGAGGGGACACGGCAGGTTCAAAGCTTCTGTGTAGTCATGGTTACACTCAATGATATGGTGAGGGTCCGGCCGCAGCTGCCGTTATCACTGCTGCATTCTGGGTAACACTTTGATAATCAATCACTTTATTGGACCTTTGATTTCAGACACTGAATGTGTTTCGGGACTTTGAATCGGTTGATAAATAAAAAGTTGTTTGTTTTTTATTTGATTTATTTCACGGTTTGAACTTTAACCTTTTTCTGAGGTCACATGTCATATTTGAATCTTTTGAATAATGACACGTGTTTTCTGTAAATGTCAAAATAAAACTTCTTCCTGTTTTGATTTATTTGGACTGGATTTTTTTTATGCTTCAAAAACCAAACAAATATTTTAAACAAAACAAGCCTAAAAAAAAACATTTAACAAACCAATAATTAACTACTTACAGATTTACTAATCAGACTGATTGATCTTCTGTCTATTAACCTAACCAGAGAGTTAGGGTCGATTCTTTGTTCAACTGGCTTGGCTGTAGCTCAGGTGGCAGAGCAGGTCAGCCACTAATCAGAAGGTTGGTGGTTCGATCCCAGGCTGCCTCCTGGCTGCATGTCAAATATCCTTGGGCAAGATACTAACCCCACGTTTGCCTACTGGTGGTGGTCAGAGGGCCCGGTGGCGCCAGTGTCCGGCAGCCTCGCCTCTGTCAGTGCGCCCCAGGGCAGCTGTGGCTGCAATGTAGCTGCCATCACCAGTGTGTGAATGACTGAATGTAGTGTAAAGTGCTTTTAACCCTATACAAATGCAGGCCATTTACCATTCAACTACAAGCAAGCAATTTATTTATATAGCACTTTCAGATCAGCCCCAAGCTGAACACAAAGTGCTGAACACTTGACATGCCAGAAATGATACATTAAACATGTTAAAAAATAAGCTGATTATTAAAATGACATTTAAAATAATAAAATTAGCACAAATGGCAAAAACAATAATAAAATAGTATAAAATGATGATGAGAATTACATTTAAAACAATAAAATCAGCATATTAGATTAAAACAATAAAATCAGGGTCAGACTGTGTCATAAGCCAAGGAGTAAAAATGGGTTTTAAGACATGTTTTAAAAGTGGACGGTGAAGGGGCCTCTCTAATGTGCTGGGGCAGAGAAGGCCCCGCCCCCTCTGAGCTTCCTCTTGGACCTGGGCACCTCCAGGAGCAGACCTGGGGGGTGGGTAAGGACAAAGAAGCTCAGAGAGGTAAGTTGGGGCAAGACCGTTTAAACATTTAAAAACAAACATGAGAATTTTAAAATGAACTCTAAGATATACAGGCAGCCAATGGAGCGAGGCGATGATGGGAGTTATGTGCTCTCTTTTACGAGTTCTGGTTAAAAGTCGTGCAGCAGCATTTTGGACAAGCTGCAGACGAGAGAGAAGAGGCTGACTAACTCCACAATACAGCAAATTACAGTAATCCAAACGAGATGGAATAAAAGCATCGATTACTGTTTCAGGATACGGCTGACATACATTGGTCTTATCTTTGCCAAGCGCCTTAAATAATAAAAACTGGACTTGACAGTAGCCCTAATTTGACTGTCTAATTTAAAATCACTGTCCATCTTAAAACCCAGGTTAGTAACAACAGGTTTAAAATACTCTGCCGGGGGTCCCAAATCAATAGCGGAGCGTTCACATGGTCCACTAGGACCAAACAGAATCACCTCAGTTTTGCTTGAATCTTAGAAAGTTTAGGGACATCCGAGATTTAATGTCTTCTAGAGATGCTAGAAGTGGCTTAATAGAGAAGGCATCTTTCTGCTTCAGAGGCAGATAAATCTGACAGTCCTCAGCATAGAAGTGGAAGGATAATCCATGCCTTCTGAGGATGGTTCCCAGGGGCTGTAAATATAATGAAAAAAGCAGAGGCCCTAAAATTGAGCCCTGCGGGACCCCAGACTGAAAGGCGGCAGAGGAGGACTCATACCCTAAAAAGTTAACACTAAAAGTTCTGTCAGAAAGATAAGACCTAAACCATTTCAAAGCAGTACCACGAATGCCTGCAAGATGGTGCAAGTGAGACAGTAAAATGTTACAAAGTAGGTGACTCTGTAAAGCAGCTTCCAACTCTACAAAGGCTGATCAGAGTTCAGTGCATCCTGAGCATGCTCACTTCGACTTCATCACCAAATGACATCGTCAGTTGAACCAAGATACCACGATTCACTGTGGGAACTCCAGCATAACTAAGGGAGGATTCCGGGTCACCTGATTCAGCCCTAACTATATGCTTTAGCAAAAAGCAAAGTTTGAATCTGGTTCCACGGAAGAGGGTCTGAAAACCGAAGGCTCTGCCTCCCATTCTACTTTTAAATACTCTAGGAACAACAAGTAGGCCTGCAGAGCGAGAGC